CTGCTCCATCTTTCTGCATTAGCTATGCATTTTCACCAGCTATGAACAGAGCTTGCACGATGCACTCAGAAAAATCTGCACCAGAGGAGGTAACTCACAGTTGTGTTGCCACTGCTGAAATGCACCACCTCACCATGCTCACATTCACTGTTCGGTTTCTGTAAACATTCAGCAAGTGTTAATGAATGTCACTGGATGCCATTTTTTCCACAAAGAGGAATTCATTTTCCACATCTTTCAGTCATCCACACTTCCATGTCAAACACCTTTTGTCAGACTGCCGTTCTGCTGCCATCTGTCACATGGCAACAAAATGTAATGGAATACTGGTGGAAAGATTCAACCTATACTACTGTACCAACAACCTCTGGCATCATGGGTCGATATAATAAAATAAGAGGCATTACTTTCAGAGCAGCCCTCATATAATTGAAAATGCTTTCAACAAGATTAATCAAAACCTTTTTGTTCCACGTCATTTCATACGTGATATACTTTTTATTATGTGACCACTCAATCTTTTCAGAGGAGTACCCATAACTCAGTTGGAGATCACTCAGTACATGTTGGGGGTTGGACTCGATGATCTCTGGAGGTCCCTTCCAACCCCTACAATTCTGTGATTCTGTGATTCTGTGATTTGTAATAGAACTAGAAACAATGAATCAGAAGTTTCTCCATTGCATTAGAGCTCTGGGTTGGGCCTTCTCTATCAGCACTGATCAGGGATCTCTTGTCTTCAGACATTCACAGCCACTGAAATGAATTGTTTGTATCGTCACCACAAAATGATGCACATTGGTCTGAATCTTTCTATGACAAGGAGAAGAAAATGGCTAAGAAATGGTAACTGTTTCAGTGAAGGAAAGAGGTGGTAGCTAATCTGCTACTCACTGATACGGCTCATCTAAATTATCTCAGATCTGGAAGTAGATGAGGGTGGAAATAAGGTCAGCAGAAGAATTTAAAGTGGAACTTGCAATCACCAAATGCAGAAACTTGCAGCAAATCTTTCCCCGATTCAGTTTTTGTGCTAAACTTTTAAGTGTGTTATATCAATGTGACAAAAGTCAGATAGCACTGGCTCTAAATGCTCACTTGGTCTCTGAGGAATTTGTGAATTCATGAGGAGGATGGTGGAGGAACAGGGAGTAGAAGGATTTAACTACTGCGCAGGAAGAGAGAGAGAGAAAGAGAAGGAATCAAATAAAACGTGGAGCAGGAAAATCAGATCACCATGACAAATACAAATGAGTTCAGAAAGAGTTTCTGAGTAGAGTTTGCAAGAATGGTAACAAAGTTTAATATGCTGTGGGAACAAGATAATGAGATCAGGGAGTCAGTGCTAATCTGACCACTATAGAGGTATGGTACGCATACAAAGCCCTTTCTCACAACACAGCAGCTCAGCCCTGAGTCTGTTTGAATCTCCTAACGTAATCCATGTTATCCTGGGAACAGCTGGTTAGGAAAACCCAGCTGCCTGCTGTGATGTTACCTGTGATTCTGTAAGTAGGTCAGTGCTCAGTCAATAATACATTATTCAGTATCCTGAGGATTGCTTAAGTTAGGCATTTCTGTTCGTGCGGTGATGGGCTAAATCTGAAGTCTTCCCGCCAAGGTCTCTGGTTGGAATCTGCACTTGGCCTGAAAGCTAAAAGCGGTAAGTGTGATGATAATAAGCATAACAGCACCAAAACTAGATGCCACAGACAGATTTTCCGTGGCTCATGGAATATTTTAGATGTAAATTCATCTGCATATGTATAGGTACTTTGCACTCTGGCGCTGTTTCCATTGAAAGGGCATATAAAAGATATAAAAATGAATCGTCATCATTATGGGCTGGACTTCTGCCAGCTGCTTAGTAATTAGAAATTTAATTGCCCAGTGATAAAAGTTTTAATTACTCGGCAATTAGTACTGAAAGTTTCAAGTGCTTCACAAACAACTCGATTGCATTCCTCAACTGCCAATAATGAAGGATGAAATAGCTCTAGGATGTCTCAGCAAAGCTCTCAGCAAGAGGGATGAACAGCAATGACAGAACAGCAGCAAAATAAGCCCTGCTTGTCGGTGACTAGCCAGTTTGGCTCGGTCAAGGGTGGTGAGCACTGGAATAGGTTGCTCAGAGAGCTGGTAGGTGCCTCATCTCTGGGGACACTCAAGGTCAGGCTGGATGGGGCTCCAAGCACCTTGATCGACCTGTGGGTGTCCCTGTTCATTGCAGGAGAGTTGGACCAAATGGCCTTTAAGGATCCCTTGCAACTCAAACAATTCTATGATTCTATGAAACCCAAACTGTTGGATAGCTGAATTCTCTTTTCCAAGAGCAGGAAGGCCATAGGGAGGATGCTAGAGAGGAGGTTGCTACCAACACAGGGCATATTGACTGCCAGGCGAAGAACTGCCCTAGGTGATGCCTGTTCTTTTGATCACTTCCTCCCTCCCATAGTACTCCAAACACAGAGTCAAAGGGACTAAATCTGAATTGTCTCACTACAGGAAGGCAAACTCACACCCAGAGCAAAACCTTCAGTCAACTTGTGACCTGTACCATTACTTGATGCATTCACTCTTTCAGGCTTTTAGTCACATACAGTGCAAGCACCATTCAGTTTCTTAAGGAAGTTTTAATCTTAATTTATATGAATTTGATATGAAGCATCTAGCTCTGGAGGTGTTTTAATAAATTGCCTGACTCTCACCACTGCAGGATTTACAAGGGTTGCTCTGAAAGTAATGCCTTCTATTTTATTATGTTGGAGCATGAAACCAGAGGCAGATGTTGGTGGTGTGACAGTAGAGGTTGAACATTCTACCAATATTCCCCTACATTTTATTGCAATGTGACAAAGGGCAGCAGAGGGACAGTCTGACAAAATGATGTCTGACATGAAAGTGCAGATAAAGCAAGGGTGTGGAATTGAATTCTTCCATGTGAAAAAAATGGCACCCACTGACATTCATTCATGCTTGCTGAATGTTTATGGAGACCATACACTGGATGAGCACAGTGAGGTGGTGGGTGGTGTAGATTTTTACAGGTTTTTTGTAGGTGTGGCATGCAGGCTCTTGTTCGTAGCTGGCAAAAATACATAGCTAATGGTGGTGACAGAATTGAAAAATAGTGTTTTGTAGCTGAGAATTTGCTATATCAAGTAGTGTTATTGTGCTCTTTCCATCTGCTGTAGTTTCCATAGAAATCAATAGGAGGCATTACTTTCGGAGCAACCTATGTATTTACAGTTTGTAGTATCCAGCTGAAGTTTATTTATTGCAACATCACAAACTATTTTAACTATACTATATTCCCCAGCTAGCTCAAGTCGAAAATACTCTCTCCTGGGTCAAGCATGAACTACTTTATACCTGGTATTATCCAATTAATTTTCCATATGCCAGATAGCAAAGGTCCTAATTAAGTAAATCTCTTAGGGCCTAGTTTCTTTCTCCTGGAATTGCTAGAACTTAAATATCATTAACAAGTCAAACGTTAACGAAGTCAACAGTTGGCAACAGTCCAGGAAACAGAACTGCATTTAGGCTACAGAGTTTAGAAAGAACTGCATATTTGTGTTCTTTTTCAGTAATCAAAGAAGAAAATTATCTGAGGAATTGTTTGGTCAGGGAGCAGGGACAATTTTTGCACAAAATAATCACAGATACTGCAGAATTTTTTTGCATGTCCAGCAAAGAGTTCTTTAAATAACATTCAGGTTTTCGACAGACAGCGTGCAAAATCCATCATGAGGACTTTGGCAAAACAAGACAAAATTGAGCTAGTAAAAATATTTCATGGAAAAAAAATATGGTAGACTGAGGATGAGATTAAACTTCTCAGAAATTTAAAATAAGCTGAATGTTCTATTAAATGTTACTTGTAAATGTACATACATATATTGGGATTGAGAGGAGAGGGGGGAGACAGTGAGGGAGATCACAGTGTCTTCCAAAACTTTTTCTCCTTTTTTAAACTGTTTTCCAAATTTAGCTACTGTTGAAAAACAGCTAAGGTTTAGAAGTGAAGCTTATGAGAAAATGCAGCAATAATCGTGCAAGCATGGCTTAAAAAAATGCCTTCCTTTTCCTGGGCATTAGAAGAAATCCAGCAAACACTAAACATCAACATCCAAATCATATGCATATAACACTGAATTAAATATTTTTTCCCCTAAACTCCAAAAGGAATTTACACCTTTAAATAGTACTTGGCCAGTAATTATAGTAACTCAAAGCCTTTAAGTGGTCTGTAATACCACATCAGATGTTTTCTATACTCCTGACTATCAAGGTCATTGATTCTGCAAAGTCTTTTCCCAACTGATGTGCTGGGTTCAGGGAATATATCTATGCTTGCTTTCTTATTTCAATAGTTCGTTTTGAAGCAGTGAATAAATATCTGATCGTTGACTGTGTCTAGCTTTAAGACTGCATAGTATTAAGGTCATAATAAATCGGGATTCACCTCACTGAATGTAGCTGTCTTGTGCAAGCTGGTACCAGGCTTAATGTAGAGACATAAACATCTCCGAAGGATGAGTCACTCCTTCCAGACATAAATACCGGGGACAAATGAGGTGATCTAGGAGCTATCAAGTACAGAGAGATCAACTTCTAGACAGCAGAAACAAGGAGAAATGTAAAGTCTTATAACTGTGACAGCTGGAGAATGGCCTGAACAACACAAGTTGCATGTAGTTTTAGCATTGGTTTCCCCTTGCTGAACTAAGAGAGGAACACACATTTCAGGCTGTGGCTCAGAGTCCCAGGCTGGATCATAAATGACACTCTGCTGGATACTGGATACAACACAAGGAGCTGGTCTCTTCTCCCAGCATGTTGCAATCAAAACAGCCCATGTATCCCATTTATTTACAGTGAGAAATTGTACTTTATAATGTTTTTGCAGTAGGCAGTTATTTAGCTCAATCAACTACTGAAAAAGTCCCATGTTTGGCACCGTGTAGAATTTCTCTTTTCCCATTACTATTTTCCAGCTATGCTTTACCCAGCTGCTCAACGGTTGAAGAGGTCCTCAGCTGCCTTCCTTAATCCAGTGCTACAAAACTCCCTGGAAGATGTGGTGCTGCTATATGAGGTTCAGTATATGGGAACAAATGGTACCTCAAGTGCTAACCAAATTCTGAGGTTATTGTACATGATGGGATTACCTATTACCTGTCTTCGTGCCACCTTTACTCACCCCAGTCATAAACTCACTGAACCTTAACCCTATATACTACCTCTTCAGAAGGGAGAAAACAGACATGTATACACCAAATAACAAACACCAAGCTCTTTCAGTACTTAAGCAGGCAGCAGCTGCCCACACAGTACTTCAAATGTGTTCTAGCTTACAGACAGATACAGGGAAAGTCAGAGCAAACAGCTTACCACTGAAAGTAGCTTTCTTCCAGAATAATCGTATATTAACAACACAATGCATTTTAATTCTTTGGTCTGAGTCTCAGTCCCAAATTACTTGTTCAATCAATTAAAACAACAAGTATCAATCACTGCAAAATAATTCCAAGGGCATGACTGTTATCTTCAAAGATATTCAGGTCCTCTCTTGCCCAGCAGTGGAGACTACAATTCTACTACACAGTCCCGAACAGTGTTGTATGATTAGCTAAAGGAAAGTAGCCAAACTGAAGAATGGCCAAATCTAGTTATCCTACATGTTCAGAAACTGTTACTGGATGTTCAAGAAAGGAAGATGGGCTGGGAAGCCATTGCTGTCTCTGTCAGAGTAGACGGTATTTCCCAGTTGTGTTGCTGCCCCCATCTCTAAATCACATGTGATACCAGCAGCAACACATGCCTGTTTTGGACAAAAGAAGACTACCTGCTTTTTCCTTTTCTCTCTCCTTTCCCCATAGCTGGTCTCTAGTTTCCCTAGAGATGGATGCAATAGAGGAATCCAACATTCACATATAGATATCTGATCTGCCCCAGCTTCAGTCAGTGGCACATGAGGTTTTTCTTAATCTCACCTATAACAAAATCCCAAGGACATGTTGTTAATTTGTGTTAACTCTGCCTAGAGTCTCTTGCAGAAGATAAGCAGCTTTCTGTGTTCTGATTTTGTGACAGTTTCTTTTAGCTGAGCTTGACATTGACAAAGGTCAGAGGATCTCCATCAAAGATGAGGAGCTGGCTTCGCTTAGGAAGGCTGCTGAGTTTGACACCATCTGCAATGAGGTCATTCCCAAGAGCATCACAGAGATCCGCAGGCTGAGTAGCAGGCTGTCCTCTTACCCAAGAGTCCTCAAGAAAGAAGACTTTGAAAGGACAGTGCTGACCATGGTCTACGCAGCCTACAGGGCTGCTCAGTCCCAGGGACACCAGAAGGACACTTGGGCGGAATCCTTTGTCAATCTTTACAAAGCACTGAAGAATGACTTGATGTTTCCATACAACAAAGAGACATCATAGAAGGAGACTCGAAACAGCAGCTGCTCAGCCATTTCTTCTGGTTGATGAGGGGCACACTTAGCACGTCCACCCCTTCATTCTATGAAAGGTTTAACAGCCCGCTTCATGAGAGATTATTTGTTTTCTAGCTCCCTCTTGTGGAATTCACTTTATAGATACATGTTAAATGGGGAAAAAGCTTGTCTTCAATCTCCCCAGTTTTTGTTTGTTTGTTTGTTTGTTTGTTTTGTTGTTGTTCTTTTTTGTGTTGGCTTTGAGGCATTTTCTGTAAAAGGAAAATAAGGAAGTCTGGTGTATATCCCAGACAGGTATGCCCTTATTTCATCTGTGTGTTTCTTATAAGCAATGTGCACGTGTGCTGGAGAATGCTGCTTTCCTCGCTGAGGAAATAACTTCATATTTCAGCTGCTCAGTAAAAGAATACTAAAAAGAGATGCAAAGGCCTTCTGTAAAAGGAAGAGGTTTCATAACTGTCAGCCTTCAGAAATTATGGAAAATATATGCATTCCAAATATTCCTGTAAACAAGCACTGTCTGACTCACTTCATTTGGCTGAGCCAGTTTTTAATCACAATAACATTCGCAGAAAACAAAGGGCATTGTGACTACCAGCAGCAAACAATGCCTGTGAACATATTCCCCAGTCCCCAGAACCACCCTCCCAATGTCTTTCATTATTTGCACATGACTTTGCTTCTGCTCCTTTATTTTTGAGTTGAACATGGATTTATCCTCTGTGGAGTAAAAGGCAAAACAAAAGCTCTATTTAATTTAATGATGACAATTTATTTTCTGATTCTATCACTTGAACTTAGATCATCTAAATCAGTGTGTCAGAATCCCTCTGAGGAAGGGGAAGAAGGTGGATTAAAACATACATGGTGCTGAATTCATCAGTGTGGCTCATTTCTGATTGTAAATTATGTTGTTCACCTGTGTATATGTGTGTGTGTTTGTGTGAGTGCATGAAGAGTCTTATTTTATTCACTCAGGAAATAATTATATCCAAGCACCTGGAAGGAAAGGCTTTTCTTCAGTCTGGTGGTGGGAATAGTAAATGTGGGAGCAGAGGAAAAGCAGTACTTGTTTATAGCAAAGCCTGTTTGTAGAAGTCGTGCAACAGATTGTTATAAACTGTTAAAGAAAAAGTGTGGAGACTGTGGCTTTAATGGACAGAGAAAGGAACGACATCTTGTGACAGAAATGGCAAACAATGAAGGATCCAAACTCTTCATACTTTGTCCACAGGTTATATGGATACTGGTTCTCTACTGGCGTTCGAGTTGTTTCTGCTTCCACAGTGTAAGAAAGAGATGAGCATACCTCATCCTTTTATACCAGCACTCTTTCTATTTACATAATTTCTTAAGGAGAAAAAAAGCAAACCAAAACTGAGGCTGTAAAGGATGACTGAGGATACCAAATCAGTTCCTGAGACATGTTTAATTGCTTCTGCATCACAGCTATGATGTGCTTCCATACATAGGGTGGGGTACTGTGGGTGCCCCATCTCTGGAGGTTTTCAAGCCAGGTTGGATGGGGCCTTGGGTGGCCTAATCTAGTGGAAAGTGTCCCTGACCACAGCAGGGGTATTGGAACTCTAGGGGCTTTGAGGTCCCTTCCAACCCAAACTATTCTGTGATTCTATGATTCTATAATCTGGGCAAATGGAGCAATAAGATCTACATCTCTTAACAGGAATACTCCAAGGCCTGGAGAAAAAAAAGCCCATCCAAAGCCATTTAAAAAGAAACACTCAATCAGTCAAAGCACACTGGGTTTGGCAATTGCTTGTGGGAATGGGGGCTCACAGCAGCCTTAGGGACAGGTTGAAAATGGCAAGAACATCTGGAAAAATGGCATATGAAAGTCAGAATCAATCTTTTTTGTTGTTAGCAGTTTCACTATGAGCATGCATGAGTACACACAGTTGCAGGTACATACACATGCGTAGTTTCGCTTTTGCATCTGAAGGCTTTTGGTGGTCATTTTTGACATCTGGCAGGTATACTTCAAAGGAAGCTGAAAATCTTAGCTACAAAGCTATGAGGCACAAATACCTCCATCTTCAGTACTTGCGTACATGGATCAGTGCCCACAAAGAAGCCTTGCACTACAGCTCACATACCTTTCAAAGCCTCCAGCATAAACATTCTTGATGTTTGTTCTTTCTTCCCTTTTCATGCTTTAGAAAGAGAGGGAGCACATTTCTGCCTTTACAGCTTTGCTGCTTCTTGGCTCCCTAAAACACCACTTGCTTGTAGAGCCACAAACAGGGGCCATTCATAAATCCTTTACAGACAGTGAGTCCAAATCTGCAAAGATAACAGGGAAGAGCATCTCAGAAAATCTTAATTACTGGCAGTCATCCTCCAGAGAAATATTTCCCGGCCACCCCACAACAGAACTGTCTGGCAGGCAGTATCACAGGTCCTTCAGAAAGGAATTGCAGATAGTTTTGAATACAAAGTCATTCCCAATAGCATGCATACTTTACAGGTTGGTAGTTGAAACCTTTATCTCTGCAGCATAAAATAAAGTTTTTCTGAGTTTGTTTTGCCCCTTTCATTATTGCAGGAAAAGAAATTTATTTCTCAGGAATGTGCTTGGACTGCCCAATTTATTTAAGAGAAAACAATTACTGTAATAATAAAATATTCTACATAAAACTAATTGTATTTCCGTTGTATTGATTTCAGCAGATTTGCAGACTGGCAGCAAGAAAAATTGGTTATCCCAATCTATAAAACTCGGTGGGATCAGTGGTACAGGAGAGAAGGGGGCATAAAACATTCCCTTTAATGGTTGAGAGGTGGAAATAAATTGGGAGCAAGACTGTCTTTTTTATCCAGAGTTTGAATGGGAAGTAGCACTGTCTCTGGGCAGCATTCTGGGTTTAGGGCAGCTTCCCTCAGTATTGCATTTCCTGCCTCAGGTCCAGGGAGCCTGTTTCTAAAAGAGAGGGAGAAGCTCTGTTATCTATGCTTTGCTCCACTTGCCTTTCATTTCTTCAGAATGAGTCATGTTCATAGATGGTCCCTCTCCCATGGGGCAGAGTCATTTCATTGCCTTTTTTTTAAAGAGGAGTCTTTTGTTCACCCTTTGACCTTGCAGATCATGAAGAAGTAAAATAAAGCATAGTTTTGTTCATCTAAAAGAAAATTGTATATTTTTTTTCTTTTTTACTCTGGAGTATTTTTGACATCCTTTAAGTGGGGGGTGTTTTCTTTGTGGTTTTGTTTTGTTTTCATTTTTGTTTTGTTTTGAAGCAACTACTGAAACATATAAATTCCCTGGCTGTATTGTTCTACTGGCAATTTTTACATTGATCAGATTTTTGCTTTCAGATTTAATTGCTAAACTTACCTTGAGGTTCTCAAGGTGCTGATGCCTGATGGCAGTTTCAAGGCATAGAAATACTACACAGTCCTGGAAACACTTATGAATTTCAGGAAAAAAATAGTGTTATGCATGGAAAACATTAGGTGTGAGATATATGGTAAATGGGTGATTACTGGTGGCACATGGGTCAGTAGATTAACTCTTCTGATTTCTTTCTATTCCATGAGACCATTAGTCACAGAAGAACTGTAGAAATGCTCCTCCAATTGAAGATCAGAGTAGATAGACTAAAAATTCTTAATTTGATCCTGTCTCTTACTGTCACTAATGAAACACGTATCAATGCAGAGATTAGCCCATGCCCATGAATAAGTGACATTCATGGGTTAAAATGGAAGAAATATAGAAGACAAAAGTTACTCTTTATAAAAAATATGTATTCATCAGCACAGGGAGACTAAAACAAGAACAAACTGTCAATTGGAAAAAGATCTCCTTGTACAGAAGAAAGAGAAGGTGGCTGATTTTTTCAAATGCTCTGACTAGGTTTTAGATAATGAGCTGAGCAAATACAGCCTCCTGCAGTCCTTGTTGGTGAATTAGAGTTGGGGAAAAAAAAAAAAAAAAAAAGGTTTTAAGGTTTTTTGGGGGTTGTGGCTTTTTTTTCTTTTTTTTTTTTCTTGAGACTGAGTATAATCTGTATTGGAATTACTACCCTGTGAATTCCAAGCTCAGGGCAAAAGTAGGCGAAAGGTAGATTCAGAGGAGAAGCTAAAACTACAAAGAGACAAAAATCTGAACAGAATGGAATATGACGAACTGTAATTGGTTTGTTTTCTATTTTTTATTTTATTAAGAAAGAATTCCTACAAATTTGTTTCTGTGCAGTGAACAATAAATAATTTTCCAGCAAAAAAGAAACCTATATTTGAGAAATTCAGACTAGCTACCAGGGAAAAAAAAGCAGCACACCAGAAGATATCCCACCCAGCTTACGAAAACAGAAATTACTTTGCTGAAAATCAGATGATGGAAGAAAAGAGCCTTTCAAAATATGGGGATAAGGATGGAACACAGTCATAACCGTGACTCTGAATTAAAAAGAGAAAATGTCAAATGATCATTATGATCCAATTTGCAAACATCGTGTTATGGTGTGAAAGTCATTTGGATGTGCTGGTGAGCCCTACAAAAACTGAATGCCTTTTTAACAGAAAAATCATTAGAGTTTCTCTTCAAAACAGCAGACTGAAGAATAAGCAAATTAAGGGAGCTATCTGAGGTGGCTGTGTGAAAATAGGAAACGAGGCAGAGAGAACCCTGTCTGCAAAATCCAGGCAAAGGCAAAGGAGAACGTGGAGTGGAAACTGGACAATCTGAAGAAATTCAAAGAAAAGAAGATCACCAGTGAAGGGTATGGCAGTGGTGAAGGAGATTCTCCGATCCAGAAACATCTTGCTCGTTGTTCTCATTCCACTTCTGCTGCTTCCTCTGCCACTTTTGTACCCCTGCAGCGTAAGTACATTTTCTTTTTCTACAAAGCCTCTGAGTACAGCAGGCGCTCTAGCTGGATAAGCCTACAGTGGACAAAAAGAGAGGCAAGGATCTAAAAAAAAAACAACGTTTCTCTCTGAAATATCAAGGACTCAGATTTGAAGGAGTGAAAGTTATTGGGCAGTCATCGCAATAACAATCAGAGCTATTATGAACAATGTCACAAGCAGAGATGAAGAACCAGGTGAAGACTTATTTTAAGACAGACACTTTGCATCTCTACTGTTTCTTTAGCGGTGTGTGTGAGGGAGAGGTGTTTAAAATGAATGCTAAGAGTGCCTTTCATTTTTAATAACAAATACGCATGGAAGAACTTTCCATTTGGTGCGTGTAGAACAGTTGTTCAAGTGAACTAGGAGCTAGGACTTGGTAGGACAACACGTGGCATCTGCTACAATAAAGCAAGTGTATGTACTGACATACTGCAGTTCTGACATTGGCTAACAAGTGATAGCTCAGAGGCATTCACAACAATACAAAGGAGGGAATCTTTGCTTAACACATAAGCAAGGCAATGGCAATGAATACCCCTGGTTAACTTCTCTCCATGCATATCTCTGCTGTGGTCAAGCATAAAATAATAGTGTACCCATACCATATAGAAATGGTGATGTTTAACTTGCCAACATTTGCACTGTCTTAAAAATTCTGTAGCTCTGGCTTTCACTGTGCTAGACATAAATCTAGCTGAATGGTGCAGCAATTTCCATTCCTTCTTTTACCCTGTTAAAGATTAATTCTTCTTTCTAGCACTAGAGGATTTATGAATACTACCACTGTTATCAAATGACAGTTCAAAGGATTAGAAAACTGTAGGTTTTTGTTTGGAAAGAAAAAACAGGATTCACAGAAAGATAATGTTTTTACACCAGTGAATTGTATTTTACAGTTTGAATGAGTTCTCCTGCACTCTTATAGTGGTTTTATATCTCTTGTGACTTGAGCGAGAATGGATGACAAGAAATTGTACTTTCTTCAGAGAACAGTAATGCCCCCCTTTTTTAAAAAGGATTTCATCTCCCCCAGTGCCATTGAAGGGGCAACATAAAGAACAGATTTTCTGTGACATGCTTGTATGATACTGAAACTACAGCATGCTCTGTATCCCCTGAGACCTTCTCAAAGGCAACACAAGATTCACTGCATTGAGACTTGTTACCTATGTTTGCTCACTGCCAGACTCGAAGGAAATTCTGTAATAACCAAGGGATTTGTAGTGTTATGGTATGAGTTTTGGAACAAGAACTGCTATTATACTGCATGTGTTCCATTGCAATATTGTTCTGCACCTCATTGTGCTTCTGTACTGCAAAGTGACTTGAAAAGTCATCAGATGATATTTTATATTCATTTTGCATATGAGTGAATACTGCAGATGGTAAAGCATAGCTGTTAATCTGGCCCAGAGCTGGACAAATATTTATAATGCCATTGAGAAAACATCTATAGTTAATAAACTCATTTGACAGGATACTATTCAAGTGCTTTAAGCTAGTATTTACTTTGCTACAATGCATTGACTAAGATTACGTCTTAAATCTGAAGATTAAATTTGCCTCCTGATGATTTTCTTATATTTTCACTTATCAGACAATTATAGTAGCTTTCAGTTTCACAGAGAGCAGAATTACTAGGTGAATTATGTTTGCATTTCTGCAGGGAATCAGCTATAGCCTCTTTGGTGATAGCACAGCTCTGGAAATGGGGTAATGTTATATGTGTAATGTAAAGGGACATCAGAAGGAGCATGGGGACTCAGAACTCTTTATAGGTAAGGTTTATGGGAATAATGTCCACGGCTTTCTATTATTTTGTGACAGTAAATGATTGGGCAGAAAATAAACCTGAGGAAATTTGTTTGAACTCTTCCCAAAATTGATACCTGAAATGTGACTTCTGCAGCAGGTTTGAGACACTCATAGACATTTTCTATACCATGACAAATGCAGAAAAAAAGTCTTTTCCAGACAGTGATATTTTCTCATTCTCGTAATCTCCTTAGCTGTGAATGGTGACTATTTCTACCATATTTGTTTCATCCTTATCCTTTTTTTTTTTTTTTTTTTATCAAACCACTGGTGATACCATTAGCATTTTACATGAATAGAGTCAGTACTGGGTATGGTCTACTGAGGCCCTGGGTACTATGTTTGCAGTAAGTCCAGTTAAGGACCACTGATTATTCCTCAAAAGGCAGCATGCACAGAACAGCTACGGCTGGCATATTGTCATTTACCTTTATTTTTGCTGTACACCCTCTAAAAAGAGGAAATTGCACTGTGACCCTGTCAGCAAAAAGATAGCAGACCAGAGGCTGAACTATCACTTCTTGCATAGCTTAACCACATGCCTATATGCAAAATATGCATTGCAGATTTTTATATGGGTAAATCTTGAATCCAGACTTTATTGTTAGTGAGTATTCTGAGATTCTCAGATGGTTTGACTACAAATGTTTTGTGTGTTGAGCATATTATGGAAGTTTCAGCCATGGCATTCCTTTCAGTCCTCTTTTCTTTGTTTATAAGATGCAGACTGAAGGTAGGTGGAAGCCCCACCAGCCATCACATAAAAGCTCACTGAAATGTATTTTCCTATTCTGGGCTTCATTCCCTTCTTAGGTATGTTTAACATTCATTTTCACCTCTGCAAAAGAAGTAAAAGAATGAAAAGAATAAATAAACTACATAGCCATTATTTCAATACAGTACTTAGTAGCTCTGGTAACTATTACATAAATACAGAAATTGAATTCAATTGAATAGAAAAGATTAATTTATTTCTTCTTTCGAAAGAGCTTGTTTAGAGCACTGAGAATAAATAACAGTAATAGGAAATAAGTAGCATAAAGATTTAGTGCCTATCCCAAGTAATTTTTCTTAGAGAGGTGACTTCCCTATGTCCTATTTCATTTCCACTATTAGTCTATTGCTACATGCATACAGATGATATAGAATAACTATGCTCAAAGAAATTCTAGAGAAAAATATTTTTGTAAGGAGAAAATAGTTTGGGATCAGGTTAGTATAAAAACATTATTAAGAATTTTGTCAAAATATATCTCTAGTTTTTTATATCTGCCCCATTTTAAAATAAAAATTAATGCTGTTCCATTCAAGCAATTTTGTCTTCAATATTGCTGGACATCATGGAGCCCATGTTAAAAAAATATAAAAAATAAAAAAATATATATATGTATAAATATGTATGTTTTTGTGTGGTGCAGGATTTCAAATGGTACTTTTGGGTACTTTCCTACCCAAAAAAGAAACACTTCAGAGCTAAATTTGTCAACTTGTCCAGTAGCATTCCAGATACTCTCAATAGTCTCTAAAATCATTGGACTTTATCTGATTAAAGAAAATTATATTTCTTAGTATCTCTTTTTTATTATTATTATTTTTTTATTTTTATTTTTATTTTCAGGCTCTAGTTACTTGGATTAGAACTATTAAATGTTATAATTTTCTGAATTAGGAGTCAGAACAAGGTCTGATAGCTAACTTTAACCCATGTTTCTGAGTAAGCTTGGCTACAATTTTCAATCAAGTAAAAGAAATGATACATGGTAATATATCTTGACATTTTCTCTGGGTTTTGTTCTGCTTGTTATTACCATATTGTATTGTTGTACTGAAAAAAAAAAAAAAAAAGAAGTGGAACAGCTGAATGTGATTCTTCATACATCAGAGACAATGTAAAAAAATACATATAGAGATTTAAAGAGAAGTTAGTTATTGGTTCATTCCAATGAATCCATGCCCCTGTTTAGACTCACCTTTGACAGTCATACAAGCCCATTGATTTGCACAAAGACCTTTGGAATTTCCTACAGGTGACTTCTTGAAAGCTGTTTAATTTGTGAATCAGAAAAGAAAAATAAGAAAATCCTACTTGATCTATTTGAACAACCCACTTATAACGAATGCATTTTCTAAACCATAGCCATTGTGAGCTGTGAATCCATATGACGATGTCGTCATAGAAAACATCCAGGAAATAATGAAGGGCAGATATATAGCTAGTGTAAATCAATACGAACATAATGGCTTCTGTAGAACTTCTGGGTAACCTCAATACCTAATTTGACTTCAAATTTGCAAACAGGGAAATAAAATATTTTTCCTGAAGTCAATTCCTCTGGTTATTAACAGGAAATATTTCTAAGTTTTTAAGAAAAGTAAAAGAAAAAAGGGTCCCACTTAAAGCCATAAATAAAGGCATATCTATCTAAAAAAGCATATGTTTTCCTGTAAAAATGTCCAGGAGATACCATCTCACTCCATCTCTCACCAGTTTTAGCCCTGACGAAAAAGAACCTGGGTGTACTGGTAGATGGCAAACTGGACATGAGCCAGCAAAATGCCCTTGCAGCCCTTAATCCCAAACATATCCTGGGCTGCATCAAAACAAGAATGGCCAGCAGGGCAAGGGAGGTGATCCTGCCCCTCTATTCTGCAGTGGTGAGACCTCACTTGGAGTACTGCATCCAGGTGTGGAGTCGTCAGTACAGCAGAGGTGTGAGCCTCTCGGACAGCATCCAAAGGAGAGCCACAAGTATGATCCCAGGGATGGAATACCTCCCCTGTGAGGACAGGCTGAGAGAGCTGGGGCTGTTCAGCCTGGAGAAGAGAAGGTTGCAAGGTCATGTGATAGAGGCCTTTCAATATCTAAAGGAGAGCTACAGGAAAGAAGGGGCAGACTCTTTAGCAGGGTCTATGGTAATAAAACAAGGGAAAATGGCTTCAAGTTTAAATAGGAGACATTCCAGTTGGATATAATGAAAAAGTCTTTTACAGTGGAGGTGGTGAGGCACCAGAATATATGGAGTATTTCAGGGTGAGCCTGGATCAGGTCCTGGGCAACCTGATATACCTGTGAGCGTCCCTGTTCATTGCAGGGGAGTTGGACTAGATGGCATTTAATAATCCCTTCTAACTCTAAGGAGTCTATGATTCTAAAGCTCGGGACCACATTCTCATGGCTTTGTGTCCCAAGATTTTGGAAAGTAGCAAGTTTGCTACTTGATTAACCACATGACCCAGTGGCCTGTAAACCCCTCTGAACTTTGGTCTTTCTTTTCCCAGAGAACTGCAGAAATTACCTGGGAAAATACAGCCAAATATTTCCCAGAAGAACCACTGTGTAGCTTTGTCCATTTGATACCATATGTGAATACTTTTGAATTATTCTGAAAACTCCTCATTCCTGTGCATGCCCAACACTGGGAGAAAAGCCAGGTAGACGTACAGGCTCCATGGGGCAAATCTGAGGAGTCGTGGAGAAATTTTTGTTATATACTGGGTTATTTCAAGCAAACAAATCCATCAGTGAACAATGATTTTGCTGATAAATAAGTATACTCAAATATTTTGCACTAGTTTCTGTGCCAAGATTTTCATTAGCAACATCTTCTTCAGGTATTGGCCTTTCTGTTTGCAGCTTAGATTTCACATCCAATCAGCTGTGCTTTAGAACATCCTTGTGTGAACCTTGTTGAATTCTGAGGTGCTGGTACATGCTGCCCAGAGATATGGATGCTTCATCCCTGGAGGCATTCAAGGTCAGATTGGATGTGTCCCAGGGAACTTGATCTGGCAGATGGTAGCCCTGCCCATCGCAGGGGATTGGAACTACATGGGCTTTATGGTCCATTCCAACCCAAGCCATTCTATGATTCTATGATTCTTGTAATCCAGGCACCCTCAGCCTGATGAGTCCTGTGAACATATTCACAAAGGTTTTCACAGCAGGTTGTATGACAGCAACATTTAACAACAGTGCTTTCTCCATACAGGAAGCCTCATGTGCCTACGTGTTGATTGTGACAGCTGTATACTGGGTTTCCGAAGCAGTACCTCTTGGTGCAGCAGCCTTAATTCCTGCTTTCCTATACCCACTTTTTGGAGTCATGAAGTCCAGTGAGGTAAGACCAGCGTGCACACTTTTGTCATTTCGTCTTTTTACTCTCAGTTAATTATATGATTAAAGCAAATTTTAGTGGACTAGCAAGAATGAGTCTGGGAGGAAGAAGTGTACATCTTACAATAAGTAACATGGACCAACCAGCCCTTACTTGCATTGAAAACTAGACATAGGAAAGGACATGGTAGCCAAAGAAGTGTCCATCCTATTGGCTACTGCATCACCAGCATTCCTAACACATACTGCACCATGATTCGACCTTTCACTTCCTCCGAAAAGTACATATGGGATAAACTGGAAAGTTTACTTCCAATGAGGGATGGAAAATGTATAAGCCTTACAGAATCACAGAATCACAGAATCAAAAAATCCTAGAAGGGGCCTCAAAGATAATCTAGTTCCAACTATAGAAAGGGTTGCCAATCACTAAATTGGGTATTAGTTCAGGTTACCTAGAGTCCCTTCCAACCTGATCTTGAATATTTTCAGGAATGGGGCATCCACACAGCTTCTCTGGGAAACCCATTACAGTGCCTATAGATGATGTACAAGGTATGAGACCACATATACTAAAAAGTATTACCATGTAATACTAGGAAGATGCCTAGTACTTTTTCCAACCAGTAATCCTACTGGTGCCTTGAAGTCATCAGTTCTCAGGAAAAAGAGTAGCTGTACAAAAAGTCTCTTTGAATTTGCTTAATTGAGTTTCTCTTGAATGTCATTTTCTTTCAGGATATGCCAAGAATTCCTTCAATTTCATCTGCTGCTTTTATTTCTTACATTTTTCCATCTCCCTTTCTTTTTTTTTTTTTTTTTTTTTTCTTTTTTTTTTGTTGAATGAAGTAGCACCACACTTGGTTTATTAGAATTAGAAATATAGGTAGCACAGAAGAATATATAGCAACCATAAGGTTGGTTAAAATTCTAACACAGTCTGGCAATGTGCAGACTCATAAACATCTCTAATCAAACACAAAACAAGAGTTTTATGACATCTCTTATTCCTTCCAGTACTGCAACAATTGTATAATATAATCAAATACATTTCCCCATCTGCATATTTCAATTTCAGGATCTTTTTCTTAACATAAAGGTTAGCACAAAACATTGTAGCATATCAGAGAAAGAAAATTTAGGGGCAGCCTCACAACTTCAATGTAACATTAAATTAAATGATATTGGGATTACTGCAGAGAATGTATTATTTACTTTAGGAAACAGAAGTAAAATCCTGTTTATTAAAATAAGCAAAGCTGATGGTTGCAGTATTTCCAGTCTCCTGTTCTAAAGCACCACAGAAACTGGGTCTCATACCTTGGAGTTCAAGCTACACTTCACTCACAGGCCTTGAGAGCATGAATCTGGGTGTTGCGTGTGTGTTGTATGTATAAATAAGAACCTTAGTATTCGCTTGTTTCTCAAAATTGGCTGTGAAAGGGATAAAGCAAAACAACAGATTCTTTGTGCTGCTGGCTTGGTAGATTCCTTTCATTCAGTTCAAGATTTTTTGAACAAAGTATTAGGAAAATAAAGTTAATGAGAAAGAAACCAGTAGAAGAAAGCCAAAAAAAAAGTGATATTTGAAAGCTCTGGCATACAACTATGATGGCCAAGTCTACTAAGGATACTAGGGGTATTTGTTAAATAAATGTAACAATATCCTTAACACTTACTGCAACATGCACAAAATAACACTAGTGCCATTTGTATATTTTTATCAGAGTGTAAGAATAATGGAGGATAATGGAAGGAATATGGCTTAAACTGTTTTAAAATGGTAGGGCCTACACTTGTTTACAGCAAAAGGCATTTATACAGACTGGAAGGAGCAGTCCCTGAGAGCAGCCCTGCAGAGAAGGACCTGGGGGTACCGATGGATGAAAAACTGAACATGAGGCAGCAGTGTGCTCTTGCAGCTCTGAAAGCAAATGGTATCTTGGGCTACATAACAAGAGGGGTGGCCAGCAGGGATGGGGAGGTGATTGTCCCCCTCTACTCTGCTCTTGTGAGACCCCATCTGGAGTACTGCATCCTACTATGGAGCCCCAGAACAAGAAGGACAGAGAGCTGTTGGAGAGGGTCCAGAGGAGAGCCACAAATTTGATCAGGGGGCTGGAGCACCTCCCCTATGAAGGGCTGAGGGAGCTGGGCTTGTTCAGCCTGGAGGAAAGAAGGCTGCAGGGTGACCTCATTGCAGCCTTTCAGTACCTAAAAGGGTCCTACAAGGAGGAGGGGAATCAACTCTTTGAAAGGGTTGATAACAGCAGGACAAGAGGAAGTGGTTTTGAGGGAGGGGAGATTTAGGTTGGATGTCAGGGGGAAGTTCTTTACAGAGAGAGTGGTGAGGTGCTGGAACAGGCTGCCCAGAGAGGCTGTGGATGCCCCGTCCCTGGAGGTGCTCAAGGCCAGGCTGGATGGGCCCCTGGGCAGCCTGGTCTAGAATTAAATGGGGAGGTTGGTGGCCCTGCATGTGGCAGGGGGGTTGGAGATTCATGATCCTTGAGGTCCATTCCAACCCTGGCTATTCTGTGATTCTGTGATTCTGTGAAACCAAAGAGTCTGTGTTTAAGAAAACAATTGTAGACCTATCTCATGAAGCATTTTGTTTAAATAAAATAAAATATTCAGCTAGATTCCAAACATTCACTTATTTATAAATTTTATTTTCTCCTGTTTTGTTTGTTTTCACCAAAAAAGTGTGTGATTTTTTTTCTTATTATTTTTGCAGTAGTTTCACAGAGTATCTTCTTGTGTTTTAGCAAGTCACACATTCAAGAATTCTGCTTTGGATTTGTTCCTGCATTGTCTCTGAATATTTTCTTAAGCCGTAGTTGATTTTTGATCATCCCTTCCAGATTGAAGTTCTCTTTATTTCAAATTTTGCCTTCTTTCCCTAACACAATGCAAGTGGATTTCCACTCTGAAAAGTTCTGGCACAGTATCTTCAGACCATCAAAGCAATATCACAACCTTTATTCATTGCATTCAGAGTGCATGTCCCCAAATAGCTTTTTTTTTTTTTTTTCCCCTGAAGCCACAGGTTCTAGAGATGCCAAATTTTGCACAACGATTGAACATGACTTAAGAAATACAAACAAGACAGACAATTATATTTCCATAACCAAAAAGCAGATGACACACATAAATAAGGTGCTCTCATAGCAGAATTTTGTGTCTGTTTCAATTTGTGCCTCATTGAGCTACAACTAACTCCAGGCAATGCACATCCTGAGCAAAGAAGTAAGATTTCTCTCAATCTCTTCAAAGCTGAGAAATCTACAAACAAGAGGGGATGCAGCTCTATTACTTGTAAATGCCAAATGAGAGAGATTGAAGACAGCACTATGACTTCTGAATTCTTCAGTTTCCCTGGCTTGCTGTGATTCTTCTTGTGGGAGTGTAGAAACCCACAATATTTCTTACTCTTCAGCATGATCTTTGTGTTGGCTAGCTACTGTGTTTTTTAACAGATTATTTCCCCCATGTTCTTAATGCAGGTGGCTGCTGAATATTTCAAGAACACAACTTTGCTCCTCATGGGTGTGATTTGTGTGGCAGCTTCTGTAGAAAAATGGAATCTCCATAAACGTATTGCTCTGAGAATGGTCATGATGGCTGGAGCAAAGCCAGGCATGTGAGTGGATCTTCAGATTTCAGGGCAATCTGAGGTTAATAGAGGCAGCTTGTAAAAGCAAATAACTCAAGCTCCTCTATCCACAGACAAAACCCAGCTGGGTTTGGGGCAACTGTTCCTACCCACTATCCCTGTCAGAATTTGAAAGCTTTCAAACATTCTCAGCAATTTTTCTGCCACCTCCTCCTCCTCCTCCTTGACTTATATAATTCCATTGCTTTCTATTTTCAGCTGATTCTTTGTTCCTAATCTCTCTGTTCCCTCTTTGTTTGTTTAGCAAATATAAAATAATTCTTAAGGTATCCCTGAATGCACTGAAAATCAGTCTTTCTCAGGTCACTGGTTTCCAAGTGGGGAAACAAAGGGTTTTCAGTGATATATGATCTTATGACAATTCTTAACACAAAGCAGCATTTTATCTATGCACACAATAGTATTTTGGTACCAAGAAAAAGAAAAAGACCCTACCTATATGCTTACCATCTGACTAATAAAAAGGTTAGGTAGGAAGGCCTTTAGTATTTGTGAAAGTGCCTCAAAGTCTCACTGTGTTACACTTCAGGTTGCTTCTTTGCTTTATGTGTTGCACCACGGTGCTTTCCATGTGGCTTTCCAACACATCCACCACAGCCATGGTGATGCCAATTGTGGAGGCAGTGCTCCAGGAACTAGTGAATGCTGAGGAGGAGCGTGATGTCATCAGTACTGCAGGCAGCACCACTATTGAAGAAAACGAGCCAATAGGTATTTGCCAATATTGGCCATTTTGTTCTCATTTATCAGTGACCAGAATGATTGATATATATTATTCAAATTCTCCCCAGATCATAGCTGTTTGATTTGCACTGCCAAATATATTGGTCCATTCTTTTTCTTTTTGCATGTTGATATTTCTTCCAAAATTGAAAGACAGTTTTGCCTTGAAACGGGCAGAGGCCCAAACACATGCTCTGTGACTATCCCAAGCTTGCCTTTCTACTCCTGCACTTCCAAGCTGCCCAGTTCAGACCAGGTGCCAGAAAAAATTTCTTCTGCACTGGTTTGAGCTTTAGCGGTTTCTGACATTCCCAGAAAGAAAGAATTTGGGAAGAAAAAAATCTCCCATTTCTTTCAATTCACAAATTCCAGGCTGAACAACGACGTTATCTAACCTTACTTAAATTCTGGCATCGAGGCCTTAAGTCCCACAGGCATGACAATATTTTAATTGTAAGAGGCATGCTCTGAGGACAATAAAACACAACTAAATGCCACATAAGTGTCACAGAGTTACCTGAGAAGGTCCAGACCAGCTTTCGCTTGCAATAGTTTCTCCAAGTTTAGTCACCCAAAGGCTCAGATCAGTTCTTACCACAAGCCTCCTGTTCCTTCTTTACAGGTCTCAACGAAAAGCATGACCAACCTTCACTGGAGCTTATCTTCATCAATGAGGAGTAAGAATGAACCCCGTACGACTGGAGATTTGAGCCCTACACAGGTTGCAATGAAATGAACTGAGGAATAGAGCAGGAAGGGCGTGGAAAAGCTTATAAATTGATGTTTTACATGTAACTGACAAAGAAGGCTGATATGAGAAATAGGATTGATGTAATGGTCTGGATCTCACTAATGTTTGCAGGGATCTATTTATTTATTTATTTATTTTAACATTATTACCACTATAAAGTGAAGGAAATACCCACTTACAGAGGATTCTTGAGGGAAGCCTTAACTGCCAAGAGTATTCAAGAAACAGATGATGGCAGAGAGAAAAAAAAAAAAAAAAAAAAAAAAAGGAAAGAAAAGAAAAGAAAAGAACTGCAAAAGATTTATTTGAATGCAGCCAAACTTCTTCAGAAGTTTATAACACTAAAAGATTGAACCAGGCCTCTATTTTTGGTAAAATAAGAGCAGATAAAGGAAAGGACTAATTTTTAATTTTGAGTTATCAGATAAACAAGTCAGATACGCAGGAGTCTATATAAAGTTCTTGTTCTCCAACTGCAATACAGGCTTAATTCTGAGAAGCATCTTCTTAAAAGGTACGGGGTTAAAACATACAGTTTCTTCTTTAGCTTCTTCTGTTTCATTCACAAGAGTACAAAATAAAAGACAAATAAGTTCTGGTTACATCATTTAAGATTTTCTTTAAAACAAACATTATCATTCAAGTAGCTCATGTTGACAACTTGAAGTTAGCTTGCAAGTTCTAAATAACTTTCTTATTAGTCTGGAGAATAATGAGCTCTCTAATAATTTGTCTTTTTATCCTCTCTTTTTATACCATACATATTTTCTTCAGTATAAAGGAAATCTTTCATTTTGGTATTATGCCATTAATTACTTTAAGACTTATTGAAAAATATGTGAGAAATATTTCATAACAGAACTATTATTAAAACAGTATTACTTGAAAAAAAAAACCTTGAAACTTATTGGGAAACGTAGCCCACATTCTGAAATTAAATCTGATTTCAAGGTAAAGAAAAGTAAAAGCTCTTTGTATTATTTGCATGGACCACATGCTACCCATGACAGATCTTAGTGAAAGCTTTAGTGTGGCACGGGACGGTGCTCATAAAAAGCATTGAAGAGGCTGATGGAGGAAGAACTTGAATAGAACAAGATGGAGGTAGCATTGGCTTGCCTGGTAATTCACTTCATTGTGAATGGAGTCCATTCCTAGAACAGAGTATATACTACTGTGAATACATATAACTCTCCTGGATGGAAGTGGAACTGCCTTGCTACCAGGCTAGAGAGAGTCCAATTGCAACATAATTGGAAATAATGGTTTTAAGTTTAGGGAGGGGAGATTTAGGTTGGATGTCAGGGGGAAGTTCTTTACAGAGAGAGTGGTGAGGTGCTGGAACAGGCTGCCCAGAGAGGCTGTGGATGCCCCGTCCCTGGAGGTGTTCAAGGCCAGGTTGGATGGGGCCCTGGGCAGCCTGGTCTGGTATTAAACGGGGAGGTTGTTGGCCCTGCATGTGGCAGGGGGGTTGGAGATTCATGATCCTTGAGGTCCATTCCAACCCTGGCCATTCTGTGATCCTGTGGTAATAATTGTTCCCATGTATCTGCCCAAGATACCACAAAAGAGATACTAATAATTGGTATTCTTCACCATTTTAGTAGGCATTACATCTCCTGCAGCTGTTGCCTCTCCTTCTCTTGATTTGCGCCTTTTGGGGGAGCTGGGTGAATAGACCGTTTTAAAGTATACTTTCCTTTCTTTGTTTTTAGTGCTACTACTACTGACTTCAACTCCTTGATGCATTCAAAGGTATTGTCATAGGTAGTACCTGCATATTCTGAGCTACACTGTTTGCTAATACCATCAGAACACAGTACACACAGCTCTACAACTCCTTCCTTTATTTCAAACAAGAAGTGGTTGTTGTGTGAGAGTACATAGCACAGAATGTTCTGCTTCATATTTAACCTTTCAGACTTCTTGCACAAATCACAATGGGAAACATTAACGCCACAGGGTTTATTTCAAGTGCTGCCAAGGATCCAGTCAGTAAACTAATTATTCCATCCAGACTCTCAGTTTTTAGCAAGTTCAGGTAAGGACTTTTATTGTCCAGTTACCATCAAGTTCTGCAGTTGAGATGCCTCGGTTAATTAGAACTACACATCTTACAAAGTCACCATCTCTAGCAAAGGCACTCTTAGATTCTGCTACATGATAGGGGAGAAAACTGATGTATATATATATATGTTTTCTGAATTGTAACATCACAACATCATTTTGTTTTGAAAACAAAAGCAGTATTTAAAAAAAAAAAATCTCGTGTTTTTCCAGTGTGGTTCAATTCTGAAGTTTTGGTGGTTTTGCAGTGTTTTGGTTTCATTTGTTTGTTTGTTTTGAAAGTCCACAGCCCATGAGTTTTATAAAGCAATATCAGTCTAAGTGCCTCTAAATAAACAGAAACAGAAGAAAGACTAATCTAAAGGCATTTGCCTCCTTACAGACTATGAATAGTGTGCATATGATAGCCAACCCGATTGGAACGATGAAATCCAAGAGCAATGGGCAGCAACTACCTCAGGTAAGATGTTAGAAATGGAGGGTAAAGGAAGGGACAGAGATGAGCATTATCTGTTTATCACTGCTTCATTTTTATTCCTTGTAAGCTGCTTTTAATGAAATCATTCTCTATCATTTTACAGCAGTTACTTTTTAGCTCTATGTTAATTCTTGTTCCCATTTAGAATTCCTCAGCACAGGTATTTTTGTACAGCCATCTTCCAGTAAGACATTTCTGAATGGCTTGTACAATTCATTTAGCTTTATAATCAGTAATGTGACCACAAGTTTCACTTCTTATTTCACTGCTCTACCCACTTTATTTCAGCAAATCGTTCCTGGAAAATGGTGCAACAGAAAAAGAAGAGCAATCCTTGACTCACAATGTCCTACTCAGAACTAAACTAACAAGAGACATGGATCATTTAATTGTTCAGTCAGTGGGTTTGGCAGTCTTAGTATTCATCTCCTTATTGTACTGCCAAATATTCTCCATCAAAATCCTCTACTACATTACACGACTGCAGTATTTCTACTTTTCCTCAGTGCCTCCAAGCAGTGACTGTTTTTTCTACTGTGGTTATACAACTCCTAAATGCATAAGTTAATGCTCAAGAAAGATTAGACTAAAATCAACACATGCATTTGCATTAGCAGTTCTAATGAATCTAAGTGTATGTTTCTAAACTGAATGCAATTCTCTTGTTATTTAATTTCCTCTTGCACCCATTTGCCATTTGCATTCACTGATTATTTTGTAGGTAGTATGCTCTCTTCACTTTTAACCTACAGGGACATGAATCAGAGAACTCTGACAAGGATGACAAGCATGATTTACAGCATGACTGATTTTATGACATAAACACAAATCCAAATTAATGATTTAACAGATCTATTTGACTCCCGTGATACCTTTTTCCTGATCATAAACTATAGCCTTAGTTGCATGTAAAGTGCTCTGAGTTTCTCTACCTTTACAATATAACTGCTTGATTTAGTAGCATGGAGCTTTTCTTGTCACTGTTAAGAAAACTTGTTTTGGAGCAATATTTTTTCTGTAGCTTTTCTTTCATGGCCCAGCCTCTTCCATGTACTTTCTGAGAATCATTCTTTAGGAGAGGCCCTGAGCCAGTCTGAGTGCCAAAAGTCCACCAAGCATTTGTCTGGTGGCTGTTCGTAAGCCTTAGGGATTACAGATTCCTTCTTCTGCAATGCTGGCATCCTGCCTCTGCAGCCCACAAAGGCCTTTTGGTATCCAGCTGAGATTCCAGTCAGAACTGGAGCCGACCCAAACTGTGGCCAGAAGTCCGATTACTGTCTATTCCATATTTCGCCGCAGACCAGGCAATTTCGGGCTCTGAGACAGGTTTCTAGCTCTGATCCCAACTAATACCAATGAAGAAAAAAATCTGCTCCCTCTTTTTATTAGCGCTGTGGCATTAGAGAAAGCAGGGAGCGGGCTGCTGTTCTCATCTCTTTCTCTCCTTGATCAATGTATCCCCTCACAGGCTCAGATACTAGTCCTACCTCCTAAGCCCTCTGAACTGGACCTGAGCACTAAGTACCGGTATCAGTCCAGACATGACCACATGATCTGCAAATGCCTCTCACTGAGTATCTCCTATGCAGCAACTATTGGAGGACTGACAACCATCATAGGGACTTCAACTAGCCTCATATTCTTAGAGCACTTCAACAAGTAAGTGACACTGTGGGTGAAAATATGATTGGTCAATATCATCCCTGTGACTCTCCCTGTGAGTTATTTATTCTCTCAGGGAACTATTCTAAGATGATCTCAATAAAGACAATTTTGTTTCCTTTCCTACTTTAACATTTTTTGCCAATGATTAAAGATTGTAAGGGGGAGCTTAAGTTAATATTTATATCCATATCTTTCTCCCATGCAAAATAAAAATTTCTCAACATTTCTCTTGAGCAACTTCTTCTGATACGAAAAATTGATTATCAAGAAGGCAGCAGGTTCCTTCAGAAATTAAGCACTAAAGCCATGCAGACAAAAGAATGAAGAAAAATGGAAATCTGTGCAAAAGATGAAAAGTCATAAAACTTGCTTCAAGTTATTTTTTGGCTTCATAGCAAGCTGGTTCTCATGGTGAACCTAGAATCATCATTGGTAATACTTGTGCTGTTTAACATGCAGTGCAGAAATATGTACATTTAGAAGTGTGGCCTTACACCTTTGCTTCATGGATGATGGGAAGCAGCTCTGAACTAAATATTTCCTCTATCATATATGCCCAGAGCTCTCAAAGGCATGAATGTCATCTCTGTCAGAAGGCTGATGAAAGTTCTCCTCACTCACTGATCTGTAACCAGGCTCACACCTGATTCTGATCATCTACTGCTGTGGCTGTAACATTTTCCTGCATTTGACATTTTGAAATGCTGGCAGCAATGATAACTAAATTCAGAACCCATCTTTAGCCCATGAATCTGGATTTCACAAAACTTCCGAAGACCATGCTTTTTTGACACTTCCACCAAATGCATATATCAGACATCTTTGTCAGAACCTAGCAGACTATAGTGATTATTTTTGTGGTCCAGAATAAGACACACATAGAGATTCTGAGTGAAATCATTCTTAGTTCTACTGACTAGGACTTTGAATAATAAACTCAGATAGAGACAGGATTTAATTCCTGGTAATTGCAATGATTTTTGAAACTGGATGGAGAATCTAGACCATCTGGTCTTAAAGGTGTGAAGTTCTATCTGGTTCATCTCAGGCATGGTCAGTGACTGGCATTTTTTGACCAATGGCTTTACTATGAACAAGTATTGTATTTGTCACATTTATATACTGATGAATTTTTTCTGTCATGCCATAACATATATGAACGTAAATATATGTTTGTACTTCTGTACATATTGGAAATGTTCTTTTACCATTCTAAACTCTCACATAATGTCTTTGTGTTGTTGTTTTTTTTCTTTACAGCCAATACCCAAATGCTGAAGTGATGAATTTTGGAACCTGGTTTTTGTTCAGTTTCCCCATTTCCCTCATCATGTTGGTCCTTACTTGGTTCTGGATGCACTGGTTATTCTTGGGCTGCAAGTGAGTGCAAGACGTTCAAGATGAATTGATAACAAAAACAGGGCATCACTGACCTCATTAGAGTGAATCTCATTAGAGCTTTTCTAGTTCAAATGATTAAAGCTAAGGTACAACTTTCTTCTTGATAGAAACAATTACAAGAGGAAATAATATTTTTTAGTTGTGACAGATAGGCAGCAGTGCTCATTATTGTTGCACAAGAGTGAAGTGCTTAGGTATTGGTGATGGAAACCTTTACTATGCACTCAACTGATTTTTTTTTTTATTTAAACTCTCATAACTGGGTCTCATCATGGACCAAAAATCTTGATAAAAGTCCTTTTGGAAAGGTACAACTGAAAAGATGAATAGGAAACAATAACAGTAATTGAACAATTTACTTTTCAGATCTGCCTTCAGATAGATGAAGTTAATATAAGACAGTTAAAATTAATGGTAAACAAACTCCATTTATATATTTGATCTTAAAGGAAGAAGAACTCTTAGGCTGAGGTAAATACCCCTTGAAACCACCAGTTCTGAGATCCGAAACAAGAACAATTTCGGTCTTCTATATCATATGTATTCTCTTTGCAGAAGCACTCAGCAAAGCTAATGAAAATTGACAAAGTATATGCATTTAGAGTGAATTAGTTAATCTGCATTAAAATGCATTGCATACATATTTATTCAGAATTAAAGTGGCCTTAATTTGATTTAGTTTACTCTTAAAAGTAAGATGAACTGACATCACTAATTTATTTCACCTATGAAAGTGTATAAAATGATAATCAATTCTGCTTACAGCTGACCTTGGGTTGATTTTAAGACGTAATTTAGAGGTGAATAACTTCCATGTCCTTCAGTCCCCTGAGTGTTTTAGTTCCAAATTAAAAGGCTAAAATAAATGTCTTTTTCTTTCTATTTTTTTTTTAAATTTTATTTATTTATTTAATCTTGAGTGGAAACAAGCCCTAACACCACTTTCAATTACTTTCTGCTTTTTAAAATAAAAGCCATTGAAATTCCACATTGCATCCAAGACCTCATGCTGATTAATGTTTTTGTAGATAATACCAGAGATTGAACCATTATTGACTTCTTGAGAAGTGCTGGTTGGTTCCAAAACTCTTAAATCTTTGTTCATTTAAAGTCATTAAAGAATGTGTTATGTTAAGCATGTGGATACAATACTATAACTTCACACAGTCCTAAGCCTAGCAACACTGAGAGCATGTTGAAACAGCTGTTAATGCTTATATATAAATGTTTATTGAATTCCCATAATGTTCATGTTGCATGTTCTTCCTCCTAGGAAGCCCAGTGTTTTCATTCTGACTTGGGCTGATTGAAACATTTCAGACTTTTGTTGTAGGTTCTAGACAAATTCAAAGGAGATGGAGAATAGACCCACCAAACAAGCATTGCCAAAAAAAGCAGAGCTAGGAGTAGAATTGTCATTATGGAAGTGGCCATTAAAAAGCATATTTCTTTTCTCCTCCAGCAGATGCATGACCAATGGTGAATTTTACTGGAGTCTAAGAGCAAAGTTTGCAAGGAAATTTAAATGTGCACAGGAGTGCTATGTGAGTTTAAAACAAGAGACACATAGGTACTCAGTTGCTAGGGACATGAAAACGGAGATGTTTTTGTTAATCAGAAATGGTCAACCTGCATCTTTAGCTACCCAAACTATGCAGATAATTTGACCTTTGTCAAACACACCGTTTGGCCAATGTGGTAGCACAGGTCTCACTCTTGTGGGGCAACAAAGGAGACAATAAAATGAAAGAAACTTTAAAACCAGACCATTTCACCTTCGACACACTTACTTCACAGCTGCTGCAATCTATTTTACGCTGGCTTAGCTGCAGAAGTTTCTCAACCCACTCCATACACCCCTGTCCAATAGATAGTACAGGTGGTACAAAAAAGCAGAGTTGTGGCCCAAAGCAGAGCAAAGTGACACAGTAGGAAAGAATAAAAAGAAAATGTTTATGTGAACTGGAAAGAATATTCCTTTCAATTAGGAATCCTTTGCTATAACGTGAAGGCTAGCTGCATAAACTAGGTGCTTTGCCTAATTTGCATATAAATGTATAGCAAATTTAAATGTGTTCCAATGTTAAATGCACTTGTGCTTGTGTTTACCTGACAGATGTACAGCCAGTTTTCACCATGAGAAAACATATTGACAGTCTTGGACCCTGTGGCAGAGGCAATGTGGTCTTGCTCTTGGTTTGGAGAATGTTAGGAAGAGTAGAAGCAGACAAATTATGAAAGCTATTGGGTTCCTCAGCATAACTTTTATCATTACTTAGTTAATCCTGAACATTCAAGTGAAACTTGGACTCAGAAGCCAGATCAGGACATATGCATGTTGGCTACCCTTGATCCTAGTGGAACCCATATAAATCCTTCACACCCAATAAAATTATTGATAGTTGATCACAGTCTTTCTATGGGATAGTATAAACTAGATCTAGTCTTTTGGAGGTTTGGGGCACTGGAAAAAATCTGGCCACCAGCAGCCATCTGAGGAAGCCTACAGAAAGGGAGTTCAGCCACAGCCTGGGGAGGCTCAGTGATATCAGTCAGGATTAGACCGGGCTCCACAAGGACCTTCAGACCACGTGTAGGATTTTTTCTCAGAAAGACCTGGAAAATAGACTATGCAAAGGTCACAAGCAATGGTTTCCCTTTCCACTGCCATGAGGCCCAAATCACAATTTTACCTAGGAAGAATTGCAACTGAAGTTTTCAGTTTGTTTCTTTATTGTTATTTTTCTTACAGCTTTTCACTTCACTTCATGCCATTGTCTAATTTTACTGTGCTATTTACCTCAGTTTTAAGGAAACCTGTTCTTTGAGCAAAAAGAAGAAAACCAAACGGGAAGAAATGTCAGAGAGAAGAATTCATGAAGAGTATAAGAAACTGGGGAATGTCAGGTAAAACAGACCTCAGGAAATAGCCTGATTAGCCAGGACTACATGCAAAAATATTGGTATGGATTTACATTTTGATTTGCAAATACTGTTATATGTTGCTATAAGCATAACTATGCTTATTACATTCTTTGAAAGGTTCAGTACCAAGTGCTTACAGAAGAATAGAAACATGAGCTTTACCTTGTATCCAGATAATGATGCAAATACATAACAAGCATTTATAAATTTTTTCCTTTAGCTCCTGCCCATGAAGAACTGAATTGAAAATAATGATATTTTAGCTCGTGTTTACTGAATTTACTTGGTTTTCAGTTGAGAGCCAAATGCAGAATTCCTTAATTCAAGTGATTTTTTTTTCTAATTTCCTCATGTTTTTTTATTTCTTCTCTTAGAAACCTTTCTAATTCCTTATTTCTTCTCAAATCTGCTCTCAGGTTTTCAGACTGACACCTGTAATAGTTAGTTTGGTTCGTTTTGTTTCTAGCTATCCCGAGATGGTGACAGGATTTTTCTTCATCCTGATGACCTTGCTTTGGTTTACTCGTGAGCCTGGCTTTGTACCAGGCTGGTCGTCATTTTTTGAAAAGTAAGTGAAGTTCCCTAAGCAACTACATCTTCAGACTTTATGCCATAAGTTCTGTCTACAAAATGTTATTATCCACCATTAACAAGGTAGTGAAAATTGAATATTTATTCCTGCTTTTTAAACTACAGCTGTTCTCTCAGCAGCAAATTCTTTTCTTGCTTATGAGTAAGGCAGAGGGAACTAAGCAGACAAATTAAAACATATTTCCAATGTAATAAGTAGGAAGGGCAGATGCTGAAGTTTAATGCATTCATAGAGATGGTATCATGGAATATATTGATTATATAATTCAAATTAAAATGTCTGGTTTTTTTTTAAATTTTATACTGAATAATATTTTGACAAAACAATGTACGTTTGAGAAAATAAAATTTATCAAGAAAATATTTATTTTGGTTGAATATTACACAGAAAATTGAAACAACTAATGTTATTTTTTTTATTACAAATAATATTGACAAAAATCTATTTAAGTAACATTAACAAAGAATACATACCAAAGATTATATAAATGAAGTTAAATTTTCTTCAGGTTTCCACTGTATAAAATTATTTTGACATCTCATCCCAATTTTGACTGAAAAATGGTCTTTACTTTTGGGATTTCCTGAGGGTATTTGTAGTTTGACACATCTCAAAGTATATTATCAAACTGAGATTTAGAAGTTTAATTTAAAAACAGTCTTGTTCACTTTTAAGGATCTTTTAGGTTTGCCTTTTCCTGAGAACGTGTTTATTCTTTACTGTTTCTAGCAAGCACATTTTTTTTCTGTACATCAAAGTTAATATTTAAAACAGAAAGGGATATCTTTTTCACTAGAATGTTAAAAAATATTGACACGGATTGCAGTTAGCTAAATACATATTGCTATATTGAATAAAAATCTTATCTGTATCCTTAATGTGAAGATATATTTTTCTAGAAGACTTCAGATGTGGAAATAAAAATTCAGCTCTAAATGCTAGAGCACAAGGTTGGACGTGGTGATCTCCAGAAGTTCCATCCGACCTCAGCTGTGTTGCAATTCTGGGATTCTGTAACTGCTAAGAGATAGTTTACAAAGGCTTTCTAAGTGTGTTTTTATGGTAACCCCATTGCTTCTTTCTCAGGAAAGGTTACCGGACTGATGCCACTGTTTCTGTTTTTCTTGGTTTCCTCCTTTTCCTCATTCCAGCAAAAAAGCCATGTTTTGGAAAAAAAGAAAAAGGTAAAGTACATGCGGCAAGAAAGAGAGCTGGCATGTTTTTCTTTAACTATGTTTTTCTGGTTTCTGCAAAACGTTTGATGAATACATTTTAATTGTGGAATTGTAGACGTATTTTCTCTGATACCATCCCTTGCATCAGTCTCCTCTTGTTTTCTTGTACTTTTATTCATATGGTCTTATCTAGCAGATTACCAACAGGTTTTATCTGTACTTATAGAGTTTTCAAAATTTAAGAAAGAGTTTTAGGAAAGATTGAGATGTAGTTCTATCCTGAGAGTGCAGAGATTTGCAAAATTGGCTGAAGATAACATCTAGTAAATAATCCAGTCTTTATTTGTATGGAAGAAATAAATGATAATCTCGTTAAAAAGATGTAAAAAGGTAACAGTTGTTAATGTCTGGCAGTTGTAATTTTTGGCAATGCTTCTCTTTGCTGTTATCCCAGTAATAATAATGATTAATTAGCAGCATTCATTTTTGATGGTGTTCAGAAGTGCTGATCAGTCTGCTGTGCCAGACTTTCAGCAATCATTTATGAAAACATGATTTCCTGCATAGTGTTATGTAAAAATTACAAATGTGTATAGATATGTTTGGTTTTTATACTGAAATACATGCAAAATACAGGAAAAATAATACCCTCTATCTCTTACTTCCATAATATACTCAAGCATCTCAGCAAACTGTCATCAGCTAAAGCCTAGGAAAGTAAATGCACATTGTTAAACTTCATGACTTAGTGGAGAGAGCAAATGCCTTCCTTTGAGAAAATAATCCCATTGTATCTCCATCTTTGTGATCTACACATAATTTGCATGTGCACATACACAACGGAGAAGATTGTCTCTTGAAAAGCTGTAGCATAAGGCAGAAGGGTTTACAACTATTCACATCAACAGAGCAGCCAAAGAGAGGTCAGGATATTTGGAATCAGAATGATGCAATTTCTGAAGCTGAGATAACCTGAGAGATAACCTAAACTCTTTTTCACCTCTCATAGACAGTTCTCAAGATAACTCCCAAGAATATTGCACTACTACTAGTAGTGCAAAATACGTGAAGATCTTTGCATAAATGCCAGTTCAATTTTAATCATGCATGTGCCTTATTTTGATATAGGAGATGCTGAAAGGTCAACAGACACCAACACACTGGACCCCATCATCACCTGGAAGGACTTCCAGAAGACCATGCCCTGGGAAATTGTAGTGTTGGTTGGAGGCGGTTATGCTTTAGCAGCTGGATGCAAGGTACTGATTTAGATTATATTTCCCTTCTTAAAAAGTGAATAAAGAAAACTGAATTTCTATCTTTTGTATGTGCTCCAAATTGGGATTACAGTGCAGAAACTTTCAAGTTTGTACATCTGCTCTCTCAACAGAAAGCTACCTAACAAAGGGCTCAAATCAGTTTTGTAAGTATAGCCTTCTATTGCCATTTCAGATTTTCTAGAAGAACTACATACTCCTACATGGCTGGGAGAAGTCAAAGATCTGAGGGACACATCTGAAGGACCCTTTCTCAATGAGCAGCTAAGCAGCTTGGGGAAAACATCTCAGCTGCCACAGGATGCTCATATTTAGAAAACAGTCACGCTTCTAGTGCTGATAAGACAAATCATGCTCTGGGCTGTACTGAATATATCTCCTTGCAGTACAATTTATGAAAACACACCTAGCTCTCCTGCAGAGACCTATGTGTAGGCAACTAAATCTCCGTATCTTCATCTCAAAATTTTAACTAACATTAGGTGGTCCTTCATTACCAATTTATAATACTTCAGTTCATATATTGAAGAAAGGGGAAAAATCAGTCTTGGTGCAGATTCAAGTTATTAACTGTCAAATGTATCTCTGTGGTACTATGGACAATTCTTTATTAGACATTACACTGAAATCCAGTTTACTAAACAAAAGGTAATGGAGAAAAGATTGATCTTAATTTTGTTTACTTGCTGGTGACATTCTCTGACTATCCTGAAGAAAACAATCCCGTTAACAAGCATCCTACTTAAGTCAATGCTGTGCTTATGTCCTTTCCTCAGACTTCTGGCCTCTCTACATGGATTGGGCGCCAAATGCTGTCCCTGAGCAGCCTTCCCTACTGGGCTGTAACTCTGCTGGCCTGCATTTTAGTGTCCCTGGTAACAGAGTTTGTTAGCAATCCAGCAACCATAACCATATTTCTACCTATTTTATGCAGCATGGTGAGTATAAACAACAGCAGTTTTAATCTGTTGTTTCCTGTTGCATCCATGGCACTCAGATCACAAAAAATTTAGCCTACATTCCTCAACTCCATACCCCCCAAAAAAACAACGTAACAAAAAAATAACCTCACAACAACAACCTGAAAGGCAACTTTAGTCCTGATAAATTTATTCAAGACGTCTAGGACAATATAAAAACATAGCTCCTACCATGAGGAATAGATGGACTAAATACAAAGAAAGATGACCACGCAATTGAAGCCTATGAAGTGAAGTCTAAATAAATCTTCAAATATCAATGTTATTTTAAATACATTATTCATTAATTAGTAGTTACCCACTCACCACATGTAAGGAAAGACTAATCAAGAATTTCATATCATCAGATTAAAATGGATTCAAGGGGATGATCTGGTAAGCATGCTAACACACAACATCAAAAGCAGAGATTATTGTAAGGAACAGAGGATAAATTCAGAATACTGGTATCAAAAGCAGAGAAAAGAGATGCAAATTTCATTCTATATTGGAATAGCAGCTCCAGAAAACTGTCTCATTTCTTTTCTTTTATGTAATGTGTACCTTTTCTTACTAAGAATGTAGAACATGAATTGTGGTTACCTGCTACAACAGTTTTATGAGGTTGTCCCTAAGTACATCATGTGAACAACTCTGAGTTAATATGAATATATTATCAGATTAAAATAAATAATTGTGTTAGTGTGGCTTATGAGTACAAATTTACCTCTGTGCTCCACAGAGGCTCTTCTAAAGAGAAATTTAGAGTGGTAATCTACTTTAAGTATTCTGAACTGGCATCTTAAGATGTCAGGCTTTCTTTATTGACTCTGAAAGTAACCTGGAGATGCTTTCCTCTCCAGTTAGCCTTGAGAATATAGTTTCCCTTTGCCATAGAAGTAGGCTACAGCAACACAGACTAAAATGCAAAATTTCACCACCAGTGAAGGGTCTAATGCAAGAACAATTCTTTAGATCGCTCTGAAAGTATGTTCCACCAGTACTACCTTCTCACAGTGCAAATTTGGACCACAGACAGCTGGGTCCCAGATGAATGGAGGCTTGCCACGTGACTCCCATCTACAACAAGGAGGATCTGGGGAACTATGAGCCTGTCAGCCTGACCTTGGTGCTGGGAAAGGTTATGGAACAGATCATCTTGAGTGTAATCACATGGTATGTGCAGGACAACCAGGAAATTGGGCCCAGACAATCTGGGTTCATGTAAGGCAGCTCCTGCATGACCAACGTCATCTCCTTCTACAGCCAGGTGCCCCACCTGGTGGATGAGAGACATAGTCTACCTAGACTTCAGTAAAGCCTTTGACACTGTCTCCCACAGTAATCTCCTAGGGAAAGCAGGCAGCACATGGCTTGGATAAGTACATTCTTTGCTGGGTAAAAAACTGGCTGGAGGGCTGGGCCCAGAGAGTCTTGTCGAATAGAGTTAAACAGAGCTGGCAATTGGTCACAAGCAGTGTTCCCCAGGGGTCAGTATTCAAACTTGTCCTGTATATCTTTATTGATATTGATATATTTATTGACTGATTGGAGGGAAGGAATCTGGGGGTGCTTCTTGGTGCTTGGCTGAAGATGAGCCAGCAGTGTGCCCAGGTGGCCAAGGCCAAATGGGTCCTGGCTTGTATCAGAAATAGTGCTGCCATCAGGAACAGGGAGGAAATTGTCCCTCTGTATTCAGCAGTGCTGAGGCTGCATCTTTAGTACTGTGTTCAGTTTTGAGCCTCTCACTACAAAAAGGACATTGAGGCCCCGGAGGGGTATTCAAAGAAGGGCAACAAAACTGGTGAGGAAGCTCGAGCACAAAACTTATGGGGAGAAGCTGAGAAAATTGCCATTGTTCAGTGTGGAGCAGAGGGAACTCGGGAGAGATCTTATAGCTCTCTATGACTACCTAAAAGGAGGTTGTGGTGAAGTAGGAGTTGACTTCTCCCAGGTAACAATGATAGGATAAGAGGGAATAGCCTCAAATTGTGCCAGGGGAAGTTTAGGTTGGATATTAGGAAACATTTATTCTCCAAAAGAATATCAGGCACTGGAACAGGCTGCCCAGAGAGGTGGTTGAGTGTTTGAGGAATTTGTATGCAAAACGTGGTTTAAGTAAGCAATATTGGTGGTGGGTGGAAGGTTGAACTGAATTGTATTAGAGGTCTTTTCCAATCTTTATGGTTCTGTGATTTTACAGTTCTTTCTTAACCATAGTTAGGAAGACTTTAAGAATTGTTTCAGTATCTTTAGTAGCTGAAATAAAAAAAAAAATCCATAATGCCAACATCTTGTTATCTGTCTTGGAGGACGACTGAAGCAGTACTTAGTGATCAGATCAAGAACACACAGCATAGAATGACATGGGGAACAAGTAGGAAAAAGACAAAGAATGGCCCAACAGTAGCAATATGCAATCACTGTGGAGTTACTTTAGCGTTAAATAGCTGAACAGAAATCCTATGAGGTTTACCAACTCCAAATTGCACCATTTTCCTACCAAACAAACAGAAGTACTTTCATGCTTATGTGTAAAAATGAGGGAGCTGAGATTTATAGCCTTGTTATCTTTATATGAAGCAGATAAGTTCTTTTCAGCTTATTTATGAGTATTGGCTCTTGCTGGTTAAGTAAAACTTCTCTCCCTGCTCCTCTCCTTCCAGTCAGAAACCCTGCTTATCAACCCTTTATACACCCTGATTCCTGTCACCATGTGTATCTCCTTTGCGGTGATGCTGCCCGTGGGTAATCCTCCAAATGCCATTGTCTTCAGTTATGGGCATTGCCAGATTAAAGATATGGTGAGTTCTGAGATTGGGTATATCCTCTCATTCTTCATGCAATCCCTGTGCCTTGTACCCACGCACAGTAGCCTACAATAACAATAATGGCACTGGTGTTAACATAGTCATACTTGTCTACTCTGCTGCTATGGCACAGAGGTAACAGGTTAAGAACAGTTAGACACCTCCTGTAGGGTATACATATTTCTCATCTTTGTCTTTATGAATATAATGGTCAAACAGGTATCAAACAACAGGAGTACAAAAGACTTTGTGGTGACCTGTTAGGACAAGCACAACGGCAGTTGCAGAAGAAACAGACTGAACAGTAGGGTGCTTAGGGAAGTCAGGAGAGTACAAGAAATCAGTTTTATCATGTTGTTCCACACTGAATCACACAATTATCACCAATCATGCAGTTATCCCTCTTCTATGTGTGGTTTAAAAACCCATTCTGATACGTGATTGAAAAGTTCAAGCAATAAACTAAGCAGTTTTCTGATGAGCTGCATCAACCTCTGACTATCAGTCCTGAATATTCTCACAGCTTACACTTTGATACATAATACCGAGTCCTTTTTTTCTATCTGTTTAGAAATTAGTGTATATATATATTATTACTATACATATAAATACATACAAATATATTCCATCAGGTTTCTTCACCATGCCCACTGTTACCTCTTTTGCCTTCTCTGTTTCTATTTTAACTGATTTTGATCAAGCATCACTGATGCATTCTGATAAATTTTGTTTTTGCAGGTGATAGCTGGTCTGGGAGTAAATCTGATTGGTCTGGCTGTTGTCATGGTGGCAATCAACACGTGGGGAATTAGACTCTTCCAGCTGAATACTTTTCCAGAATGGGCAGCAGTAAGCAATGTCACTAGCCAGACATAATCTCCAACTAGAAAAAAAAAAAAAAAAAATTAAAAAGAAAAAAAAATAGTGCCAGACCAAAGAGAGTTCAGACAAAATACTAAATGTGAATTGCACCCATGAAAGAAAGGAGAAAATTTGTGCATGTGTAGAACCAAGATCCAGGGCAAAACCACAAAGAAAACTCATAGTGAGATCTTCTGCATAAGTCTGTTCTGAAAGGCAATGTGAGAGATTAGTTTTCCCCTATTGTTGCTTTCCTACAAGACTGGTGATATTGTATTCCAGTATAGAATACAAGTATACGTACGCTACTGTATTCAAGAGTTGACTTCAATTTTACTGCTGACACTTACAGAGAATGAAAAGCAACTCTTGTTTCCAAACTCAGAGTTATTGAAGCTTGCTTCTTTTGAAGGCAAATCCTTTTTCTTCTTTTGAGCTAAGTCATCAATGTATTGGAAAAAAAAACCCACTCTGCCAGTTAATCAATATGACCTGGAAAGAAATACAGCTACCAATCTTCAGGTACAACATTTCAAAGGGATATCAGAAACCACAAAACAGACAGGAAGGGGAAGTATCCTGGTCAGGAGAATTGCTTTTCTTTGTTTGTTTGTTTTGTTTTCCACAGCACTAGTATAAAGTTTCCAGTATTGCAGTACTTGCAATCCCCTATATAAAGCTTTGATCAGTATCTCCTCTCCTTATTACTGCAGTGAGAGCTTTTTCAGAAAGGAAACTGACCAAAAAAAACATTACCTGGTCAACAGACCCATTACTCTCCTCTCTTTTTTTGACTCAGATTAGATAGTTATGCACTTACAATTTCCCTGAAAGAGAAAGTAACAAGATAGTGCTGCTCCATGAGTAAGAAGGGAGTGTACTGAAGTGAGATGTGCTGACATAGCTCCTCATCATGTGTATTCACTTGAACATCACACCACCCTGCTCTCTAACAGCCCAGGGAGCAGGAATTTCAATCGTGGGAAACTGTCAGATAAAGCAGATAATTAGCGGACCAAAAGGTCAATCTTTTTATCATATGCAAAGTGAATGTCCTGCTTTTCTGACTGGACTCATGTGTTATCTAGTAAACCCTCTCTTGCATTATGTACTGTTTTAAATCATTTATATATAATTTTTTAAATGACAGTGCCTTTAAGCTGTATATTAAGATGATTGGCTCTTGTGTAACCACCTTCTTCATATATATACTTCAATAAATTTGTATGCTTTCTACATATAATCTAGGCTCTCTAGATGTTAGTGTGAATGCTTGTGCCGCATAAATAAGATGTCAATAAAATAAATTATTCACTACTGCATATTTTTGTGCTTTATGAGAATATAAATAAGACACATTTCTTCTCATAACCCACCAAGACCTTATGGAAGCAGTGCTGAGACAGCAGGAGCTGTTGGATTATGGCTTCTATCAAAACAGAGAAATTTCCCAGTTATGTCTTTTGAGTAAACACATGCAAAAAGAGGTCTCTTGTCACTGTCATGTCCCATCATGAAGGCAGTGTGCCACACTGGCACTTTCTCCACTGAGCTTCTGATTTATAGTGAACAAATCTTAACACTGTAGCTGGTAGAATAATGTTTCATGTCTCAAGAAAGAAAAACAGAGCATGATAGCTGTACATTCACAGGGTTTGTTCAATTCCTTCTTGCTTGCAGAAAGACTAAATAATAGTATGATTTTTTTTGCAGTTATTATCTTGCTACTTGGCTTGCACCTTTGATTCCAAAAATGCAGTTCATAGAGAAAGGTGATGAAATCAGGGTGATGAAATATTGCAAAATCCCTGTTTTCACATGGAAAACCAACAGTATATTCCACTCCAGCATTTGGCCTCACAAAGATTGCTATCAGGGAGGCTGGGAAAAGGGTAAGCTAGAAGAATGAAACTTCTTCTGTTCTTGAGGCAATCTGCATTGATGAGAAGTAACTCTATGATGTGTCTTTGTCTTAGTAATTCAGCCTGAATTATCATTTTTTATTATTATTACTTTTGAGAAGAATCAGCTCCACATTAGAAGAACACCAGAGTTCCATGAACCCAGTGAGAGAAAATAACAAAGAAAATATGTAATCTAAGTGAGGGAAAAGTTACAAAAGTTACTAATGCAGTTTTGGTTTGAGTCAGTGATTTAAAGGAGTTGTGTTACGTAGGTATTTTCCAGATTTATTAAATACTAAAGTCGGAACTGAGTTTGGTGGGAGCGTCTATTCTGAAGGTAATTTATGATATCTGTTTTATTTTTCAAGAAAATAAAACTGGCTGTCTGTGATTAATGTATGTTTCAGGTGAAAAAGCAAACAACATCCACAACTATTTTATCTCAGTACAAATTCAATAAAAAGTGACCTTGGCTTGGGATTTGTAAAGGTTAGCATATTCCACTCTATAGCATAGTAAGTGGAATTTGTTGCCCATCTGAAGCAAAAATAGAAAGAGCATTAAGGGAACTGTCTCTGTGTAGTTTACCAGTACTATCTACGTTACCATATACACCATAACTTCCTAATATCTGAAGTAATTCTACCACATATGGAGCAGCTATTAATTTTTACATAGAAATACGAGTTCACAGTCATGTTTCTACAAATACAGATAAAATTCAGGCTTATAAAATCAACTCCTTGTTAATTTTGAAAACTCTGATTTCTTCCTTTACAACATTTCAATCTCAAAGTTAATCTAAGGGCCATCTGTTCTTTGGGCCAACAGGAGTCTGGGCCATTCAAAGCACATTTCCAGATGCTTGACATGTATAACATTGCTCAATAGAGCATACACTGAGAAGTCTTAACAGCTGTTACTGCACACAGCTGCCAGTACCACATGACAAAGGAGAACCACAAAGAAGAACCACAGTGGAAAAATTCTTCCATCACAAAGGCAATGAAATTTTTGAGGATCACCATAATTCCCTGCAACACCGCCACTTAGAAGTGTGCTGTGGTGATAAATCAGTTCTACATTACTTTACTCATCAGACATCAAAACAGTTAACTTTATTAAGATGGTTCATGAACTACATATTTTTCCTTTCACCAGAAAGAAGAGCTCTCTTATAGAACGTTCTCAACAATATGCTAAAGTAACAGGAGTCATGTGTTCTTACCTGAATTCACTATAAAAGCTTCTGATGTAGATAATGCTACTTAATGTAAAACCATAAACTGGTAGCTTCATGAATTCTTGTCCTATGCTTAATTAACTCCTCTTCAGCATAATCTATCTTTTAGACAAGTAGACTGGAGATATTCGAGCTTTAATTAATTCACATGGGGTTCAGAAAGCCAATGCCAGAGCCCTGAGTATAATAAAGAGCCATTATAGCCCTTACTGGTCTCACCTGGGATTCCCACCCATGCTATCCTCCCTTGGACCAAGCCACGCTTGGGCACAGATCTGGGACTTCAGCTTCAAAACTGCTATGCCGAGTTCTGGATCAGGACGTGAGCACACTGGAGTGACTTTGGCCCAAGGGCAACAAAGATCATGGGAATGAAGTACACCCATCTTACCAGGGTCTGTGGTTCTGTGACAGAATATGGCACCACTGAGCAGACAGCTCAGTGAAGTTGTGTGTGGTAAAGCGCTAGAACTCCTCTCAAAACTCTACTTTCCTTATTTGAACACTGATGACCCACAAGCTAATAATCATCCTTGCTATCTTCTGTCTTCCCAATATTAAACTTCTACTGTATTCAAAAGAAAAGGAGCAGCATTTTCCCTAGGGTACTGTTTTCCATCACAGGATATGTCTCAATCTAGAGTAAATATTTTAAGTCTGTTAGTAGCTTATATGTTCCTTTCTTCTGCCTTTGCTTCAAATCTTCAGCTCCTTTGAGAAGGCCCAGAATAATCAACAATGGAAAAGGGATCCAACTGCGTTTATCCTAAGAGGTTGTAGAAAGGAAGATGGTATATTTTAGCAGATCATTCCAGATATTCATAGTTACTGTGGATTTCTGCACATTCAAAATGTGCGAGAAACTTTCTCCTAGATGTCATGAAAGTGTGACCTGATACAGCAGCACCAAAGTCCCTCTGAACAGTCTGATGCAAGATCTGCATCAAGCAGTCATTATCCATGTGGAATTTTTGCCATTGAAACATAACATAAAGTTAACCTTTAGTATCATCTAGGATAACCTCAGGCTGAATCACTCATGTAAAATGAGTGATGACATAGGTCACTCTGAAAGTAATATCCATGGAAACTGCAACAGATACAAAGAGCACAATAACACTACTTGACGGAGCAAATGCCCAGCTACAAAACACTATTTTTCAACACAGTCATCACCATGAGCTAAGCAATGAACAAGAGCCTGAATGATACACTCAAGATCTATATGGCCATGTGGAACATGGCTTGTCTTCCACATCGCTGTCATCATAGTTGAAGTGCACCACTCACCATCTCACTGTGCTCACATTCGCTCTTTGGACTCCATAAACATTCATCAAAGAATGCCAATGAGTGCCGTTTTTTCTGCATAGAAGAATTCTAGGACACAACTCTCTTCCATAAGCACTTCCATGTCAGATGTCATTTTGTCAGATCTCCCTTCTGCTGCCACTTGTTTCATGACAATAAAATGTAATGGGATATTGGTGGGAAGGTTCAACCTCTATTGCTATATCACCAACATCTGCTTCTGATATCATGGACCAACATAATAAAATATTGCTTTTGGAGCAGGCCTTGTATTAGACAGTAATTGCAAAGTTGACAAGAACTGTGTTGCAGTATGTTATCTAACATTCCAGCTTATTATAATAGGAAAAAAAAAAGACAGCTTGAGCTAAAATGGAAAGTGTTACAAGCCTTGCAAAATGCTTAAGAAGTCTTGTCTCTAATATTAATACACAAATATTGTTTGTACAGCACTATAGCTGTAGCTGTTTTGCTTCATAATCTGATAGGAAAAAAAGGTGCTGACATGCTTGGAATGTTCAGCTGAAAATTTCTGCTCCAAAGCTGTTATTCTAGAA